TACGCTGTCCGGGCTTTCTGCCCGAATGCACCTCATTACCTGCTGTCTCTTGTCCTACACTCGCAGCTTGTCTAGTCTGCCCTTTGCCTTCTTTGCAGCCGCCCGGATTTCCCTTGCCTGGAAGCACGGATTGCAACGCTGCTTTCCATTACGCTGCTTTCCATTTTGCCTCGTGCTTTGCCGTGTCCACGCGCTGAAGTGCTCGCGTGCTTTTTGCGCACTGCACACTCCGCAGCGCCAATGACCGGTCACTTTCACTGCGCACTCCTTGCAATAACGTCGGTCTGCATTTCGCGCCTTCCGCGCAGAAGCTCCAAACGCGCTCGCCGGCTTTGCCACGCCGCACTTGCAGCACGGCTTCTGCACTTCGCACGTGTGGCACACGCGGTAGAAAGTGCACTGCGGGCGCGCGTATTGCTCTGCAAAGGCGGCCTCGTCCTGCCATGCTTTGCATACGCTGCATTGCCACGGCGTGTTGTTTGCCGCATGGTTACGCACGCATTCTCTGCACACCCGCGCGGCTGCTTCCCGTTTCCACTGCCCTGCAGTGTACCCGCTTTTGGGCTTGCGTTCGCGGCACTCGCTGCACGCTTCTTCTTCTCGGTAGCGCCTGCGTACCGTTGCCCAATCGATGCAGTCCCCACGCCAGGTCTGCAACAACAGAGCCCTCCCCACGCTACATCCTTTCTGGTATGGCGAGGCATCAAAGGGTCTGTAGATGTATAAACCCTCTCTATCTCTCACCCGTGTCACCGCAATGTACGCTGTCATGGGGTCTCCGCCTTCGCCGATTTGCATGTCTGTTATTGCCCCCTCTGCGTAGGTTTGACCCTGTGCGGCGTGGGCAGTCGTTGCAAAGCCTGGGGCCAGCGGAAATTGCCGCCGGACGACACGTAGCATTGGCCGGCTCCTGCCTTTGTCTATGTGCCATGCTTGCCGTTGAAGCGTCACAGGAAAGACGTTGTCCTTGTCCAGGCCTTGGACTCGCCACTGCGTTTTCGTTGTGAATTGGACGAAAATACATGTTGGGGGCTGGTTCCAAATATGTGTCTTTTGGTCTTGTGATATCTCCTGATCTTTTCGCCAGCTCCACCCGACCACCTTGCCTGGACATCCCTTCAGTATGCCTCTGCGGCGGTCCAGGTGGTCTGTTGCCGTCACTGGCATGCCCACGCACAAGGGCAAAACTCCATATAACCCTCCGCAGTCTTGGTCGTGTCGCTGCAGCCACGTTAATTTCTCTCTCCCCAATTCCGGTTTTTCTTGCAATGCACGACTGGAGATAGTATCTTTTGCGATGGCATACTGCACTTCTTGACCCTGCCTCTGTGCCCAATCTTGCGCTCGCAACTTGTTCACATGGTACTTCACTGCGTTCGTCGCAAAAATTGCTTTGGCTCGGTCCCTTCTCTCCACTTCGACCATGTGCCCCGCGGTATCTACCACGCGCTTCTTTGACGCTCGTTCTTCCTTGCACCTGGGGCATTCATGCAGCCGGATGTGTGCGGGCGTGTATTTGCCCTGCATTAGCTTCCTGCACGTTGCATTCCCACACTCTGAGGTTTCGCCAGACCAACTCCCTGGGACTGATGTATCATGGCCGTGCAAGAATGCATGGCTGTCCGCAGCGAGTCTGCCTTCCCGGATTTGTTTCTGTAGATGTTGCAACCATACATCCCGTGTTCGTTCGCATTGCACGAGTTCGGTCAAGCCTTGGACCACACTCTTCTCCCCTAGCGATCCCCATACCAGTTCCTGCCCATGCACGGTGTGCGCTACTTTTCTGCTTTTCCCACTCGTTAGCATTTCCCAGGGCACCTCTCCCAAGAATGTTCCGCGTGGGGGGCGGCAACTGCCATAGGTCCCCGGCCAAAATCACATTCAACCCCCCCGAAGGGCCGAGCGTGATAAAAGGAATCAAGAATAAAGAGTCTTGAGCACATAGCCGGTGTATGCTTATAGCAATCCCTGTCCGGCTTCTGGTCTTCCAGCTCCTCCCCCAAGAAAAGGGGTCGGCGGCACCAGGGCGGAGCCCTTACTATTATAGGAAATCACACTTTCATGGCACACCATGATCAAAGCCGGCGATCTGGCAACACAACCAAGCCCAGATGCCATCAACCTGTTTGCTGCACACATGTTTGCATGTAAATCCAGCCGGTGGTTCAAGCCTTTTGAAGGACGTCGTTTTTCTAGAATCTCACTAGATGCCATCTATAGTTGTTCCTCGAGCCTCAAGTGGTTGATGGCATTTTCCAAGTAGAGATCACAAATTGATGGCATATCAAAGGTGTTTTGCGAGTGCCATCAATTTGTGATTCCGTGATTCCCTATAAATGCGTGCGAGCACAACAGAGTTCGCGCATGTTCGCGCAAATTTCAGGCAAACTACGTATGCGGACAGGTTATTGTCGCGCAGTCGAAACTGAAACGGACGTTGATATCTTTGGGTTTTCCGTTTGGGGGTTGTCCTCGAACTATAGCACACTCCCTCTACACACTGTAGCTGCAAGCATTATGTTTCCTCAAGGCTCAGGGACGGACACTACCCGTATAAAAGACACTGCTACCCCGCAATACAGTCACTCTTTCACCCCCCAACCCCACTACCCCACCGCCGCGCTGCATTACGTGCCACACGCAAGGACCACACAGCGTTGTGTGCAGAATTGGAGCATTGGAACTGCAAGTTGCTCAACGAAAACGATGCACTTGCTCAACATGCATGTGCGAGTGTCAAGACGACGTGCAAAAAGCGTGGCGCACGCGGTGTTTGGTGCACTTCCGAAAAGCCCCGATTGCGAAGCGTGTTTCGACTGACAATGAACGTGAATCTTTACAGGCCCGCGGTGCTTCAAACGGCAAACAAGTCACTGAAAGCTATATATATATGGGGGTTGTTCAAAAGTCCTTTCATTTTTCCAGGCCTTTCGCAGGACCTTCGCGAAGCTTTCGCAAGCTTTCGCGCGTGGGGTTTTACCACTGTCGGCGATAATGGTTTTTCGTTGGGGCTAGGGGCTTTCAAGGATTCATGCAGTTGCCCTGGCACGTCTTGTGTGCTCTGATCACTGACACATTGATTGCTGAGGAACAGGAAGCCAGCCAACCAAGCAGTTTTCATGTTGGTGTGTTTTTGGTTGGGCCCAACCAAGCAGTTTTCATGTTGGTGTGTTTTTGGTTGGGCCCAACCCTCCATGAACAAGAGACGGCTCAGTCGGGCCAGTCTGCTCAGACTTCCAATTTGCTTTTTCCCGGCCCGGGAAAAAGCAAAATGGTCTAGACTTTCAATTTGCTTTTTCCCTGGCTGGGAAAAAGCAAAATGGTCAAGATTTCCAACCAAGCCATTTTCATTTTGCTGTGTTTTTGGTTGGGCTCAACCCTCCATGAACAAGAGACGGCTCAGTCAGGCCAGTTTGCTCAGACTTCCAATTTGCTTTTTCCCGGGCCGGGAAAAAGCAAAATGGCTCAGACTTCCAATTTGTTTTTTCCCAGGCCTGGAAAAAGCAAAAGGCTCAGACTTCCAATTTGCTTTTTCCCGGGCCGGGAAAAAGCAAAATGGTTCAGATTTCCAATTTGCTTTTTCCCAACCCGGGAAAAAGCAATCGGAAGTCTGTTCTTGCAGCGTGGCCAGGTCACCAACATGACTTGCGCAGACCTTTCGCAGGACCTTCGCGAACCTTTCGCGACTGCAGTGAGAGCACACTCGAAATCAGCCTTTGAAATTCGATTACTAACAAGGAAGAGGTGGGTTTTTGAACGACGCTCATATAAGTACAAACACTGATAGGTACCTTTCACGCTCCAGTTCATTTGGACGGTTGGGATAGGAATCCGTTTTTTGAATTTGGAGGGGAAGGTCACCCTCTTACTGTAGATGTAACCCCTTCCCTTGAAGAAAAGCTGGCACGAAGGGAATCTCGTCCAACAGGGTCACGAAAACTGCGTAAGGCAACCTTATCAAGGATAGTATTTCCAGTTTGATCCCACTCCAAAGTGTTCCGAACCAATCCACCACCAAAATAAGTAATTACGTTCATCAACATGCCACTGACCCACACTGGTCACTGCTTCAGCTTTGAACAGCACTTTCAACAGAGATGGCGGCAGAAACAGAATCGAAGGAAGCTGCTAAAGGTTAAGACAAAGAGCAGAAGCAAATACGGCACATGGTTTCCACAAAAGCTGCAAAACAGAGGCCCTCCTCAATGCCATATCTGGCTTCTGTTGCGTTGCAGTGCTTCTTCAGGGAGTACTGCTGTACAAAATCAGGGAAGAAGCGCATCTCCTCGAAACAGATTTTGCCAGGGGGGGTGAGATTCTCGTGCACTGCAGGAAGCTTGAGCAGTTTTGAAGTTTTCTCCAAAGGTCTGCTCACTGCTGCAAGCGAGAAATACTTATATATATATATAGTTCTACAATGTTCTACTTGTTCTAGGATAGAAAGAAGATCGAGGGCAGGACACTAAGGATATTCTGTCATAATCTTTAGTGGCTACTGTTCTTCCATGAACAATCCTCTGTCGACTTGTCTATTTGTCTGAAGACCCAAACACAAAATCTCTCAACCCGTTCTCGTTCTCCTTCAGCAACTGTGTGAACATCTCTTCACTTACAACCACCTCTGTGGATTGCCGAGAAAAGTGCTCGCCGGGAGCTGGCGGATTGGTTGCGTAGTGGCGGAAAAGAACCTCCGTTGAAGTTCACAGAAAAATTGGCATCGCAAAAACAACACCAAGAAGTGAGCTTTTGAACTCTGTCACTAGTGCCTCTCGTCATGTTTTTTTGACTTCAGGAAAAGACCTTCTCAACCAAACATGCAAATGGAGCAACATTGCAAAATTGGAAGTGTGGGAACCTGCAAAATACTGCTGGTGGCAGAGCGGAACAATATGAAAAGTATTGAAATTGTTAGGTAGGATTATTTAGTAGGCCCCCCTCTCAACCCCCCCAGCAATATTTAAAAAAACATTCTGACTACCCTGCACATCTTTCCTGAAAATTATTCCTGGGGTGCTTTAGTTGCTGGAATAAATATATAATGGATATTGCCACAGAACCCTCCTCAAGGCCGCATGTCATCGGCGTAAAAATCCTTTGTGTTCCTTAGTGATCCTGGAAACCAGGACTGCCTGCGTATGAGTTTTTGCTTATTTAAAGACTATTTAGTGGATTATAGATTAGTAGCGATGGCCTCCAACCTACTAGCGATGGCCTCCAACCTAGTATCCATATAGGTTTTGTTGAAAATTATTCCAAGGGTCCCTTGACCTACCCCTGCCTAAGTTTCTTATTCCAGAAAATTATTCTGAAACAATTATTCCATGAACTCACAGGACCCCTAGAATAATTAATTAAATATCCAACATAAAATGTTATCAATTATCGACTGACGCATGGCCTCCAGCAACGCAGCATATTCATGAAGCAACTGTAAGCACTCTGGCTCACAAATCTGCTGCTCCGCCAGATTCAATTGCCATATCAAAGGCAGCTTGCCGTCATCCGTCTCCCCTTCATCGCTGTCCTTCAAGTCTCAGCAGGACACATTACATGCTGAAACAACTTGCGGCTTCAGTTTGCAATACCAAGCAAAATTTTGTTGAGCTCTTCTACAGCCAACATAGCATACTTTGCAAAAGCTCATTGGCCGTGGTCGTCCTTATACTCTAGACCCTTTAAGCATCCTAGCTCAGTCCTCCCCGGTAGTTGAGCCACCAGTGCTGAAGAAGCTCAAAGCACGTGATGTACTTCGGCTAGTGTTGCGGGGCCCACCGGCACCACCCTTCGACATGCTCCTTGACATAGACCTCGACATGCTCCTTGACATGCTCCTTGACATGCTCCGCGACATGCTCTGAGAATTGCTGCGAGACATGCTCCTGCTCATTGCCCTTGAGCCCGCACGACTACTTGCAAGACCTAGGAGACCGCTTGGACGACCCACATGTTGCGATGCCCCAGTGTCTCCATGTCCAGATCTAGTGGAAAAAGTAAGTGGCCCTTGCATGGTGACCATCGTCACGAATCTCAATGCACTGTCTCATTCACGAACACGACAATCAGACCAGCACAAGTCAACTGTCCACCTTGAGAACTAACTTGCAATTCCTGGGAAATGCGCCATTTAGTTGCTTTCGATTTTGGTGGATTCAAGATCCGTGGAACAACCTTTCTGTGAATTATATTATATACAGTATTGAGTATTAAATCTTGAATGAACAAACATATTCTGAATTATTTTGGAGGGCCAAATGCTCCAAGTACGATGCAAGCAAACAACTATCTTAATGTCTTAATGCCTGCAGCCTCCTCGGTTTCCAAAGACATATGCTGCAAGCTGCTTACTGTAAAACATACCTTGGCTCAGTTGTTAGTATTGTATGTGGACGGGAAACAAAAATGAAAGAAGGGGAAAGAGTTAGCTAAATGATAAGCAACATGGTGGTTAAACAAACCAGCCCGTGTACATAACACTTTACGTGAATGAAATAAGTCTCGAAAGTAAAAGGAGTTTGCTTCTAATGTAGCTCTTGCTTGGACAAGGGTATTCATTATTTCTTGTCAGCAAGTAAAGTGTTTTCCCATCAAAAGTGTCTTCAGGGAAGTTTCCTATGTGCCCAATGTCAACTATGCATAATCGAAAAAGAAGGAACAACATGATACGCTCACACAGAAGGGGCAAAAGTCAAGAGGGATAACATGCTTAGAGAAAGAACGGATTCTTTGCCAGAAAAGACTTGTATGGAAAAGACTTGTACGGATAACTTAGGTGTGAATAAACAAACAGTTCGCGCGGGACCTTTAAGAACGCACAAACTTTCTAGTAGTAGTAGTAGTAGTAGTAGTAGAGGCCTCCACTCAAATCTGATGCGCTCGCACAAGTGGTAACACGTCCGCATGGAGGAACAATATTGTTAATATTTGGAAAGTAAGCCTTCAAAAGAATGAAACAATAGATATTGGAGGTTAGCAACAAATTATATGTGTATTTATACAGAATGCAACTAAGAAGGCATCTTTGCAGAACTGAGCAATAAGAAAGAAAGAGCTTCAGCAAATTGACCACGGGAATTACAGGAATAGTGGTGTAGCATGGTGTAGCCATCTAGCTTTTGATTGACTTGGTGCTTATATACTGTACATGCTTTGATCTCTCCATGTCTCTGAGAAGCCCTCGTTTGGAAGGGAAGCCAGGGGAGTGTAGTTGGGCTTCTACTTCTACTGCAGCTCAGACGCTAGCTCTTGAGTCCCGTTGATGTCGACGAGCATCGTCATCCGAGATGCCCAGCTGTGCTTGGGCTCGCGGCATGAATGTTGCAAAGATTGCCTGTCAACATAAATAACTTGGAGTCGAGAGATAATCCGCTGTAGAACAACGATTACTTGAGTTTCCGTAAATATCTAGGAGCCAAATGAATAATGCGAGTGCTTCTTCAAGGAAGCTCCACGCCGCCGTCTTTAGGGCGGCGAGGGGAGCTTCCTTGAAGAAGCATGAGCTATCCTGCGTCCATAGTTAGTAGCTACCAAGCTTCTACTACCTACCTAGCTACTACCTCCCTCTTCTACCAACCTACCCCCGGCTAAAAAGATGTTGGTCAAGAGATGTCAAGACTGGCCTTATGGTGGTACCCACACAGCTCGCCTTAAGGAATTGATCGATCCCTAGGTTGAAGTCGGTAATGTGCTGCTTTAAATGCAACAACAACTACAATGAAAAACACATCACGTTTTTCCTGTACAATTAGTATCAATCAGTTATGTTAGAGGTGTGGATGTGTTCGGATGCGTTTGAAACATGATTCAGCAAGCTGGCAGCTGGTCAAAAAATGTCAAAGGAAGTGTGAGCCAAAAAAATGTCAAAAGATGTCAAAAGAAGTGTGAGCAACATGGCGACCCTAAAAAATTCATTAGGTTTCCCCCAGAGGGGAGGAGCTTCCTCGAAGCGTGAGCTATCCTGCATCCAGTAGGTAGTAGCTAACTAGGAGCTAGTAGCGAACTAGTCCTCTATCCGCAGCCTACCCCCCGGGCTTTGAAAATAAAATAAACAACAAAAACCTGCCATATCCATCCATGTCCTGCCTCTATGACTTCGGGACCAGTCGTATACATCCCCCTTGCCCGGATGGTAGCTTGAAGAGCATTGGCCCAGCCGCTGAAGCTCAAAGCGGGAGGCTCGCTGTTGGGCTCCTGTATCGCTACGGGCGGACAAGGCAATTCTCATCTGATTTGTCTCATCCTTTGTTCAGAGTGATGGCAATTCACGAAGACTTGGTCGTCCTGGATCCTTCTGACCTGATGTGAAGCATGAAAAACATGAAAAACCGGGTCTCCTGAAAGAGCTTGAAAATCTTGACTGCCAAACTCCACGGAACTCTCCTTAGAGATTCAGTCTGACGAACTATCAATCAGGACAAACAAACTTGAGGTGGATGACGGACGAAAGGCTTGTAGGTAGGGTGGGCCCAAAGATGCCACAGGCAAGCCAGTTTTTAGTCGTGGTGGTAATAGTGGTCGTGTTTGTCATGATCGTGGTTGTGATCGGGGTAGCCGACAAAAGCAGGCCAATGATACTGTGGAGGATTTGAGCCTCGTGGGGTGTCTTATCGATGAAACCTGTCCTTAAACTAAAACCGTTCCAACGTCCACGCGTCCCGTCCACCTATTTACTGAAGCAAAGCAAACCCCTTTTGCCGGGGCAACCTTTCGTGAATTGCAGTCTTTTCCATCCAAGCAGCGTCTCTTCAGGTATCTTCCTGTCCCAAGAGTCATCTGGACCAATTAGCTTGCAGTGGATCAGAAAGCGAAACCATGTCCACCTGCAATCGTTCAATGCGCACTCATGCTGTCAGAGCATGTCAACTGCCACATCTGGTTGTTCCGCGGCTCTTGCAACACCAATTGTACAAATGGAGGAGTGATGATGAGTGAAGAAATATGAAACAAAAAGAAACTGTCAATATTGCTCTCCTCACCTGTACATCAGAGCTGTCCTTCCACCTTTTCCTGTCACCTGACAAGCAAAGGTCAAGAAAAGTGCAAAATCTTCCGTGGTTGAATGGATGTGTTTTCCAGTGGGTGGCGGCTTGCTTAAGCTGACGATGGAAAGGGTAGTGGCCTTGATGATAGATTTCTTGAACACTTGATGGAGCAACGATCTCTGATCGTTGTTCATCGCGCTCCCTGGGCCTCACCATGAATCAAGCAAAACTTGTCGAAACTCGTCTAACAACTACAGCTGCTCTGAAGCTGCTCTGTCTGACCTATGATAGAGGCACCTTATGCTGTGCCCTTGGAACAATTCATAAGGACGCTACTAGGGGCTCCTGGCATCGCTACTAGGAACAATAAAGCTACTAGGGGCTCCTGGCCTTACTAGTAGGAACAAGAAGCTACTAGTAACAAAGGGCATCGCTATACTACTAGGAGCAAGAACGCTACGAACGGAGCTGTAGGAACAAGAGGACGTGGTGAACCCTCCAGCCTTTTGTGGTCAGGTTCTGCTCTTCCAAGTCCACCTCTTCACGATTCAAAGTCGCTGCATCCTGCAAACTGGTTGGTACTGTGGGAAGCACTTCGGAATTCAGAAAGCATCTGAACAAATGAGAAGTCTTTTTGAATTCTTGTTTTATTTGTGTCCTCCATGTAGACATTGGCCAAATGCTTCTTAAAGACGGGACCAGCCGGCACATATCCCAGAGGCTGGAAAACACAAAACAAATGCCGAAGTCTCTGGATATCCACTGCTGCGGTGTTGGTCGTGTTCTGGAATTCACTTGTTGCCTGTGCCAGGCCAGGGCAACGGCTTTGATTCTCAACAGCAAGGACACCAAGAAACTCAAAATGTTTGTTGAGATCAAGCCTTACGCTGATATTCCGCCCTCTTCCGTGCATATTCCAGCGAATTCTGGGAATTTAGTAGTTGCTGCCGCGTGGACAACGATCCATGCTTCTCCAGCGAAGGCTTGCTCCTTGCTGAATCTATGCAGAGTCATGCTGGCAATGTTGCAGGTCTGTGGAGTTGCAAAAGCATCTGGGAAAGGGCGTTTCAAAGCAAAAGAAACATTTGGGTCTTAGCACCAATTGTAAAACATGCCAACTCTACCCAATGATGGTACTTGTATATAGGAGTGACTTGAATCGGAATACGAAGGCACCAGCTTTGGCCGATCTTAGACATTTAGCACTCCTTGAGAGCGGCTTTCGCAAGGAGGCAACTAGGCCCCAGTTTTTTTGGCGAGTCTGGAGCAATCACGCCATTCTCATCGAAAAAATCTTGCAGCTCCACTGACTCAAGCCTGGATGTGATGCTCAGTCCAACTCTTTTACTTGGAGGTAAATTTGGGAAGAGGCAAAGCAAAACATGCTGTTTGCCCGTGAACTCCTGAAACATCTGAAACACTGAAACCCTTTATTAAAGGATGTTCAAGCCCCTTACCAAGCATGGAACACAACTGCGTCTATGCATTTCGCATCATTTTGCACTGCGCGCCCTCGCTGGTCTTGAAGCAAGACACTCCTCGTCTGGCACGCCCGGTAGCGCATAATAGCTTTCAACCGCTGCTTGGATGGACTTCCTCTCCTTCTCTTCAGTGCTCTTGCCTAGCTTGCCTCCGATCATCTGGGGAGTCCAAGAAAATGCAATGCAAAACTAAACATGCTAGAATGGAATGACAAACATATGACAAGTGACAAGTGTAAATGTAAATCACATGTGTGCAAATGTGCTGTTTTCGTGCAGCTCTGCACAGCCACAACTGGCACACTGTCCTCACAGCATGAGGATTTCTTCAAAAAAATCGGGTGTTCAGACGAGTGCAAACAAATTGAACAAATGGACTTTGTTTGCAAACGAACATGCTCTGCTTTTTGTTCTGCTTGCAGCAATGAAGTGGTCTCTACGATCAGGTGTCTTTGTACACTGAAGTAGTATGCTAGTTGTGCTAGTCATTGGCCCTTAGTCCTTGGTATGACCTCGTGACATCACACAAAGTGGTTAGTGCTTTGGATCATCACTTGCTGCGCATCAGCGTCCTAACTGCAGCACCGCACAACAGCCCTAGCCGGTTAGGAGAGTCCCAGAATTGAAAGGATCAATCAAGATCCGAACCCTCCAAAGACGTTAAACATGAGTGAAAGGAACCTGAAAGGATACCACCAATTATGCCAGCATAGATCCCAAACAGTTTCAGCATTATTCTATGTGGCAACTGCTTTAATTCCAATCCTGGTGGTAACGTCTGCTGTTTGTTCGTATAGCTTCCAGCTGTTTGATTCCAAACAGTAGTTCTTGATTCCCGGGTCACATGTCATGTGCAAAAATGAAGGGATATATGTGTCATGAGAAAATCCAATGATGATATCAAATTTGAAACGCTGCTGCACCACTGTTGCATTCATAGCCACATGAAAACATACCCGGACAAGGCGGTGGAGAAAGGGCAAGTGGCGTGGCGTGGCCAAGCACGGGACAAGGCCTGGACAAGGCGGCGGAAAAAGGGCCGACAACGCTGACAAGTAGGACAAACATGGACAAGGCGGCGCTGCCAAGCAGACCCGGACAAAGCCTGAACAAGGACAACGCCCAGGCCCACAGCCGCAACGGACAAGGCCTGGACAAGCCCCAGAAAGCCCACGGCGCGGCCACAGCCCACAGCTATCATGGCGAGGGAACAAGAGGATCACTCAGGGTTCGCCAGCAGGAGGACACCAAGAGGATAAAAGGAGGACACAACGTTCGCAAGCGTGGCCGGAGGATACAAACGTGGCTGCAGCTAGAGGACAGCAGGAGGACATCAGCAAACAAAAGAAGGACGCAGGTTCGCCAGCACGGCGAGAGGACAGGAGGAGGACAAGGGGTTCGCCAGTGCGCCCAGAGGACAGCAGGAGGACAGGAGGACAACAAGAGGACAAGAACAGGACAGCAGGAGGACAACACCTGGACACAGGGTTCCAGAGAGCGTGGCCAGTGCCTCTTTTCTAAGAGAGGACCCCAACAGTAAACTGTTTGGGGAATCAATAGACGCGTTGGACTGATAAACTTCTCTCTGCGGCAAAGACCCCAACAGCAAGGTTTGGCACAGGGCAAGCGAACAAACAAAACGAGTCTTGATTCCATTCAGGTAAAGGGAGACTGAACTCCCCCGTTCTATTTGCAAGTCACCGAAGACACGTTGCCAGCGTTCAGAGTGTTCATGTACAAGCTGACATGAGGTGACATGCGGCCATCAAATAGTTTGAAGAACCGCAGCAATTGCCGAAGGCACCACAAGTCCACGCTACCCCAAGTACATGGCATGCACAATGTGCTCGGACGTGATGGAATTGCAACATGACCGCTTTGTTTCGCAGCACGCACCCATCCGCACCATGTGTAAACCTGCTTTGTTCTTTGCCATCATACCATATGTATCCTTGCTTGCTTGGACTTTACCCTTAGAACTTGGGTGAGGGATCAACAAAAATTCGAATAGCATAAAAGTATTCGATGGGCATTAACAAGAAAAAAGAAAGGGATCAAACAAATTCCCCACTGAGCGACGAAAGGATAAAGATACTAGGGAAAAGGACAGCAGCAGCAGGGCGAAATGAGGATTATATAGGCAGCCCCCCCGCAGAGCAAGACAAAAGAGAACGAACGGATAGAAATGTTGGACACAGCAAAGATGGGCCCAATCATCCACCAGCGGACAATGAAAAAATGTTCGCGACACTTATATAATCAAAAGACTCAGGCAAGGGCATGTAATATTTGGTGTGGAGATACGATTGGTCACTTTTAAAATATCTGTCGTGGCAGGCGCAGTGCATTGGCAAAAGTAGAGAAGAGTTCGTGGCGCTGGAGGGGGCTTGGGGGGACCGCAAAGCCTCCCCCCCCAGAGCGAACCAAAAGTGAAAAGTCACCAGACTCAGAAGGCACTTCAAAAAAGATCATCATCCAAAAAATCTACACACCCCATTGCCCCATCAATGGAGAGCACCCAGAAAGCGACAAAAGGATCAATGCAACCGGATAGTTTTGGTTTTTGCAACCGGATAGTTTTTGCCAAATTCGCAAATACTATGAATTTCCTTTTTGACCAATGGACCGTGAGGGGTGTGGACCACGAAAAGAACCAGGGGACCAAAGGAGCAGGGGACCTACTCAGGACTATTTTGTTGGATCCTGTTAACGTTGTTTGATCTAGATGCCTTACAAATTGATGGTTTTTGGATGGCCGTGGTTTCCCCTCCTCACAAGAGCCACAATAGGTTAAGATTGGTCCCTCTCACCTTCAAGGCTGCTAGAGTGACTCCTCACAGGCGGCAACGGCGACATTGCACTTTTCCGGCAACAATGTGCTTCCAGTGCTTCTGAGGAGTTACTGTAGATATTCTATGATACTCTGGGTGGAGTGATCGATCGATTTGATGCAAAGCTGATAACTTGTATCATATAAAGCTAAATATATCATAATATATCTTAATCTAGGATTTTGAGAACCTGATGGTTCATATGCAACATGACACAGTGACTTGGTCAAGCTGGGGGGGGCTAGGGGCCAGTTCCAAGCCACATTCTGTCTGATACTGATATTGAAAAAATATGAACAACTGGCATAATTCCCTGCCTGAGCAGAAATGCACAGGCGCCAGTAGGCTTTGTGCTTTGTTCAATTCTTTTCGGTTCTCTTGTAAAGCACCGATTGGATCCAATTGATATTTTTCCGAGAAGATACAGAAACAGGAAGTGGATTGCACAAGACATGGCTGCTGGTTGTGATTCTAGGATGGTCTCTGGTCTGGCATTGATTTCGACCAAACCTAAGCTGAAATCGAGTTCTCTACACGTGCAATATCAAGCCCTCGTACTTTGTAACAAAATAAGGTATTTGGCCTTCACTCTCGTGCGAATGCACTGAAAACAGGGGGGTCAGTATGAACTGGTCAAGTAGTGTATTTTCACACATCACCACCACAAGTCCACTATCTGAGTGCAGGTGCCCTGGCAGTCCAAAAAGTTGAGTATGCCTTTTGCTCCCGCCGCTGAACATCAGTTGGTTTAGCTGTGTACTCATCAGACTCGTAAAATATCGCAAATCAGCTCTCTCTCTCTCTCTCTTTCTGGCTCCCATCTCGCATGCACCACTGTTCAGGAAGTAGTCAAGGCATGATGGCATGGTCATGTTGTTCAACATTAATCTCACAAGAGCAAGACTCAACTGTATGGTGTCGCTCGCTCGATTCTGGAACAGAAGCTTCAATTGCGCCGGCCCGCGAGTTGCTTCTTCTCCCGAAGTGTCCAAGCTTGATTCATCTGAGACCTTTCCTTTATGCCAGTCTTTCCAGAAATATGAGAGCAAGTGATGAGTGATAGTCGAGCACCTTCAAACAGGCATTCAGCAAACTGTGGCGACTCAAGTTCCTGCCAATGTGCAAACTAGTGAACTAGTGACGGTGTAAGGCTAAACTGCCAGCAAGTTGACGCCTGTCAAAGCTCGGCTGCGTGTGGCAAGTCTGCTATGTGATCCGTTCAGGTTTGCTCGCAGTCAAGTCTGAATGGCTTCTTTCTTCAACGCCAAATTGGCAAAAGTGACATTGGCCCATACCAATTGCAAGCGGGACCTTGTTCATCATGTTATCATCAGAAGGCTGTAGGGATGTGCTTGGACGGATTGTTGTTTGCATTCTTGGTGAAGTCTGATGTCATAGCTGCTTGCTGAGGCAAACAGCAGCGTTGGCATAGGAGGACCTCAAACGCTATCTGCTTCACGCACGTTGATCTTGCCCTCGCTGCTCAGATCGCCGAAAAACTAGAAAATCACCCGTCCAGCCATGTTTTTCATAACCTGCTCCTCCCAAGGATGAGCGGCTGGCAAGCCTGGCAAGCTCTGAACGGTTTCGGCTTCAAAAGCTATCCCATCCCAAATACAAACACTTTATATAATTGATTAATTACTACTAGTAGATGTCCATAGATTTCCTGTAAATCTTTTACTGAAAATCCTTCACATTGGGATGTGAATCAAATCTAACGGCCTTGGATACCTTCTCTGCACGGTGCAATGGAAGGACCGCAGCCCATGGAGATACAAAGCACCTCTCAAAGGTCACGCCGTGTCACTCTGGCGCGTTCAACGAAGCCCCAACAGTCAGTTTCTTGCTACTAGTAGTAATGCCAGGAGCTACTAGTAGCTTCTTGCTCCCAGTA